CGTTAAGCACTTTCACATATTGTTTTAGGCATGAAATTCTATCAATATTGGTAACATAGAAATCATATTCATGAATGTTTGATAAACCCACCTATGTGGATTGAAATATATAGTTGAAGCATTTAAAATTAACATGAATGCACATAATGTGAGTGATAGGTTTCAAATTTTTTAGATGGCCTGAGAACATACGTGATTGGTGTATTGCAAGGCAGCTTTAGTGGGGTCACCATATTCTTGCATTGTACGTTTCATTGGAAGATGATAAAATGAAGAAACTTGGTGCTTATAATGATCACTGGATAGTTGCCAGGGATGATGAACACTTAGTTTGACATGTCTCAAGATCCTGATGTATTTGACATTTGGTTTTCTTCTGGTCTTTTTCTTTTATCTGTGTTGGGATAGTCCGATGATACAGATCTGTAAAGTGAAAGTTAGGATTATTCATCTTCATCCCATCTCGGGAAGTGGGATTGATTTTCAACTTTTTTTCACTTTAATTTCATAATTTTTCTACAATATTTTTTCTTTAATTTTACTGCCTTTTCTTTGAATGCACTTGGGTATGTTTTTGTAAATTAAGTTTTAAGAAAATTTAAAAAAAAAAAACAACAAAATAATATAAAAATATTTAAATATTCATAATAAATGTATAAAAAATACATAATATAAAATATAATAAATATTCAAATTTCACTTAAAAATGTCTATCATAAGCTTATCTATTAAAAAAATATAAAGATTAGAAAAAGAATAGGATTAATAGATGAATTAATGCTTAGTGGTTATGATAAAAAGTCTAAGAGAGGTATGTTGAGAAAATGGGGTGGCACTAGACGCGTATAATGATCAAGTTATTCACTCAAGTTTAAAGATTTATCTTATAGGAGTATTTAAAATGATTTAAATACAAATATTAATTATGTTAAAAAGATTGGAAAAAATGAGGCAATTTAAAGAAATGATCTAATATATTAATAGTGAAAATTTTCAACTTTACATGTTCTTACTATGTGCGTATCACATTATTAGACACTTGCATTTGTTACATTTTAATGAAGTTCTCAAGAAATCGTATTGATAATGCATTTTTGTTTATATTATGAAATGTAACATTTTCTTATAAAATATTTCTTATAACTGTTTCACTTGTCTTTGTTTGTTGATTTCTTCATTAGTTATGGAATAAGTTTATGATTGCATAATGTCATCATTTTCTTTTGATCATGCATGGGTCAGTTGTGATCATGCTGCATCAACTATGGTTCATAGCTCACATTTAAGAAGCCATGCTGAGTTGTTTTTATGTCTCTTATTTTAGAATTTGAATATTCCATTTAATTCAATTTGTGCCAAAATTGATATAGGTTGAATTTTAGTCATGAAATCCTGTCTTGACTAAAAACTAATGGTTTTATGTATCATATTGTTATGAGAGTCATCCATACTGGTTGGTCCCAAGTTTGTAGTAAATATCATACTACTACGAAAAATGCTCCGAACCGTTGCTATCGATCTTACCTTAAACTTCTCATTGAAAATGGTATTCAGAGGTTGGTATATTATAGATCCTATAATATATTTCTTGAGTTTTTAACCTCCGTGTATGTATAGCCAGTAGCAATACTAAATGCAGCCTTAATCTAGGCCTGCTAAAACTATCATACTTGAATGAACCTAAACTTTCCTTTCAATGAGTGATTAATCTACTGTATTATGAGTGTTATACATATAGTATGATTAATGGATAACTAATGTTGCCTTTTACAAACAAAAGACTACTAGTAATTCTGGATTAAAATTTTCTAAGAGAAAAAAATTGCACATGAGATAAGTGATTGAAAAGAATACTGGCTTTAAGTTAAGAGTTATAGCACAAAATTACCCTAACACACCAGGTATGAGTAATATATTCAATGTCATTGATCTCGCTCTTTTTTCAATTATATTTTCTCTTTAAATCTATGTTTATTCTATTTGATTTAATTCTTGAAGTTGTTACCAAAGTCCAAAATTACTTAACTTCTCAAATTGTTACAAGGTTGGCAATCAAAGACTTTGGCAAATGGATGATATAACTATTTTTTTTATTGCTAATCACACCTTTGGTAAAGGATTTGTCTATAGCATTGTCTTTAAAACTCCATACCATATTAACATCTTCTAATTATGAATATTTGACCAAGAAATATATTAAATTTCAATGTTGGGGTTTCTGTTGACTTAGATATCCCAAGATACTTTTACAGCTTTCTACAGGGAAATATGGAAATATGTTTTATTGGAAAAAAAGGGTAAAGTTTACTTCTTCCATGGAAAAACCACAATCTGTTTACGAAATGTTCAGTTTCTGCATGATGTTCTTTTTCTGTAAAGTAATACAAGTTATTTTTGCTTAAACAGGGGGACAATGCATTGATTGAAGTTACCATCATGGTAATATCGAATTGCTTAAGAACAAATAAATCAAATCCCATAAAACAATCATACATGTATAATTTGAGTATTGTAACAGGCTGTATATACATAGAGGCTAAAAACTATCCCCATGAACCAGCTGCTCATATGGCTATAAGTGAGAAAGTTTTTTTGTAAGTTACAGCTCTTTATCTAATTGTGTTGATGTTTTGTGAACTAAAATATCTAGAATAAATTTTTTTATTACTTTTTTGTAATTTCATTTCATTATTGTGCTGCAGTTATTACAAAAAGTGGTGAATAAAAATCCAAGGGAACATTGAAATGCTTTTCTTATCAAATGAATAAGAAAAATAATATTATAAAATGTTACATTTTGAATATTTGTAATGGAATGATGCTAGCTGTACCTCTAATTTTAAGTTAAAATATTATAAGATTTTTCTCGACTTCAATAGTTAAAATACTTTTTTAGCTACTAAGTAGTAAACGTTAATTACACTTTCTTTTAAGCAACTATTTTTTCTTTTGGTAATTTTGTAGCTTCAAAATGTGCAATTAACATTTTCTACTTAGTTTTACAGCTAATTTAAAAAAGCTTTGCCTTTACTTCTTTAATTTTACTATCCAACCTTTTTACAATAAGTAATTAACAATGTTAACTTTCTTTTAAATTATTACTTTATGTTAACTTCACATATCAATTTAACTTTTAACTCAAACAAATATCAATTCAATAAAATACTACAAATTCTTATAATAGACCAAGCGAAGCCAAGAGCTCATCATTAGTCTCTATTTATAAATGTCTGCATGTAATATTTTGATATACTATACACAATTCATAATTATGTAAAATAATGGTAAATAATATATTCTCTTTTGGATAATATAATTCTTTAGGAAGCATTTTAATTTTTACACGGCAAAAATAAGATAAAGGTATAAAATTCGAAAAGGTAAAGGTGTAAATAAGAAAGTAAATTGATAATAAATAAATGGATATTCGTCTTTATCTGATTTATTTGTGTGAAATTTTGATAATTATAAACGAATAATTAACAGATTTAAATAAAAAATTTATTATACGTGATAAATTTAGATAAAATACAGATAATATCCCATGAATATTCCATATCCAAATTTATTTTTGTTTTAATAAATAGTAAAGAATATCCAAATCTATATCTAAATTTGTTACCCATTTACATAAGTAAAATATATAAAAATTTATACTTAGTAAAAAGTTTCAAACCTTAGCAAATAATCTTTATTTGTTATTAATTAAAAGTGAATTTAAAATTTAAATTTAATTCTTGTTTATTTTATATTTTGATAAAAAAATTTAATAAATAAATATTTTAATATATTCAAATATTAGATGAATAATATTTTTTTAAATAAATTTGAATTAAATAATGATTTCAATTTAAATCGATATTTAATCAAATTTAAATATTATAAATATTAAATAGATTCGAGTATAAAAATTCACTCTAATACCATTTCTATGCATAAAGAGTTTTTTTTAAGTCAAACGTCAAATTACAATAAAAAATTGAGACTCGTGGTATTTCTCGAACACCCGATGAAAAATTTTGTGATTCAAAAGTGAGGTTACGTAACTTTGTCTAGGTTCGGATACTGAAAAATCAGTTGTTAAAGTAGCATTCCTGATACAGAAGTATTGTTAATTTGTTGGTTAACATCGCCTGCGGGCCCAAACTTCCTAGTCCAAAACCTTAGAAGGGTTTTACTTAAAACAATTACTTGGCCCATCCATTGGGTTCTACTTCTACATTTTTCAAGAGGGAACGACGGTCGTTGTTGGATTTGGCTTCTCTTTTGTTAATATTATATAAATGAAAAGCTCTATTGATAATCAGATGAAAAATCGTATAAGTATAAATAAAATATATGGTTGTTGTTTTATTGTTTTTTTTTTTTTTGTTTTTTCCGTCAAATATTTCTTTTTATTTACAACTTTAACATGATGACTCTTTATTTAACGTTAAAAAAAGAGAGGAATTGAGTCGTTAGTTTTTAAGCAACCTACGTTTGGTTCAGATGCATCCAACCAAATATAAATACTTTTTTCTTCAATATCTATATCAAACCGTTTCACCCTGTCAAAAATAAATAAATAAATCAAGCGTTTTCACTGCTTATCCTAAGCTGTTAGAGATAACTTATTTTTTTTATATTTGTTTTGTTACATATTATTGATGGAGAGACGCTGAGGGATGCTTGCTTTGGAGCCAAGTATATGAAAGATAGGTTGGTCAATTATAATCAATTATGGCTTGTAAGTTGTAACTCTCGCTCTCTTATGACAATAAATCCACCAAATTTACTCATTCTTAACAGCTTTTATGCATTTGCATTCACGACGGTTTTGGTTTCCCTGCATGGGCTTCTGACTTAGAAATATTGCAACTGATAATAACAATTTTCCAGCAACAAAACAGATGGGAAAAACCATTTGATTTTGGATTTCAGGACTTATTTCTTTCCTAGGTAACGTCTCAATCTCATAGAACGTATCTTTGCAAAATACATTGTCGAAAGATCAAAGAAAGATGAAGATTCCTGCCATGGACGTCAAAGTAGAACAGAAGCAACCCCTTCTGCAAAACAAGGCGGCAGGAGAGACGGTCCAAGAAGAACAGCAAACCAATCCGGAATATGCATCACAGACAAAGCAACCAAAAACCCCAAAACAAAAACTCATGAGAAAAACCTTCAAAGGAACAGCCATTTTGTCCAAGCTTCTGCCGACAGGTTCGGCCCTCACATTCCAATTACTGTCCCCTGTTTCAACAAACCGAGGCCAATGCAAAACCCATGTGAGCCAATACTTGACGCTAGGCCTTGTGGCGTCTTGCGCCAGCTTGTGTTTCTTTCTTTCTTTCACGGATAGTTTTAGAGATGACAGAGGCAAGGTTCGGTATGGCGTGGCTACATTTAAAGGGTTATGGGTGATGGATGGGCCCGTGAAACTTTCAGCAGAGGAGGCATACAAGTATAGGCTGAAGTTCATTGATTTTGTCCATGCCTTGGTGTCCATAATGATTTTTACATCGCTTGCTCTGTTTGATCAAAATGTTGTCAAGTGCTTTTATCCAACGCCATCAGAGGAGACCAAAGAGCTGCTAATGTTATTGCCTGCTTGCATTGGAGCCATTGGCAGCCTTTTGTTTGTTTCATTCCCTACCAAGCGCAATGGAATTGGCTGCCCTCTCTCCAAAAATTAATCCTCCATCTTGCTAAATCCTGATCTTTCTCACAGGTAAAATCTTTTTTTTTCCACAAGAAAGTGAGCATTTTTTTTTCTGTTGCTGGAAGTAAAAAGATTTCTTGCTCTGCAAACACCAGGCATTTCTCTGTTTCCAATTCTCCACTTACTGTCGAAGTCTAAAAACTTGCAGACTCATGGTAAAATGGTTGGTCCGGTGGCAATTAAAAAATTCAAACTTGTCAATTAGCAATCTAATTCCCGTCTTTTGCTGTCTCAGATTAAGATATACAATCAAATAAATTGTCATCAATTCTTTATTTTGACAAAATCTGATTCAATATTGGTATACATAAATCATATACATCAGAACAATTCAGAACAACTTTGTATTAATCATTCTACCATTGGATAAAAATGAAAATGAAAAGGGAGCCAAACTAAGAGGTAAAATAGAAAACGATCAATCATTGGAGGAATCCGGACCTCATCTAAATTTATGTTTTTATAGCTTCAAGACCACACAAAGAGAAGCAAAAGTTCCCAGCCACAATAGCAAAAATGGGGTTGGCTTATGCTTCACCCATAAAATAATTCCCCCAAAATTCACTGTTTAACCTTTGCAGCGTGGAATAAAGTTTGAACTAGAAAATATAAGTTGGATTATCCGGCCCGAAAATAGATCTAATAATTTTAAACTGTAATAAAATGATAAAAAAATACGACACGAATTATAATGTAATAATTTTATATCTTATACATGTTAAGTATGAAATAAATATATATATATATAAATATAAAAATTAGAGATTTACTTCAAGACAATTCAATCAAATTCCAATCATGTTATGCTTTAGTATTAGTGAAGATTAAGAGTTAATTTAGTATTGTTTTTGCAGTTGAAAAAAAATTTTAATTGAAAAAAATATATTTAAAAAATGTTATTAAAAGAATATGGTTTGAAATTTTTAATATTTGATATTATTGTGAAAAAAATATTATAAGTAATAAAAATATTTAAAATAATATATAATGTAATAAAATAAAATTTTATTTTCAACATACTTTCCTATCGAAAAATACTATTTGAATTGAAATATCAAAATGTAACTTTTGATCAAATCTGAGCCAACACGATGTTAGTTCCACATTTCAACGGAAAAAAGTACTAGAAATAAATGAAAACAAAAAAAGAGAAACAAAATGAAATGAAGTGGGCCTTATAAAATAAAATGTGGGTCCAGCAGAAGAAACACAATGCAGATGCCTCACGCGCCTCTAGGGCGCACCCAATTTGTACTGAAAACGAAAAACTAAAACCACAGGGCATTCGGATAAACATAAAAGAAAAACAAAAGAAAAAAAAATCAATTTAATATTAAATTGAATAAATTAGTCATATTTTATAATTGTTGAGGTTTCAATCCACTAGAAGTGGCATGACATATCACACACGGAAGATAAAAAAAAAAAAAAAAAACTTAATTATTTCTCATCAATTTTTTAACAATCAGTGAAAAATGAATATTCACAAAAATTGTCCTTATTATTAACCAATTTATTTTTTTGTTTAATAGCTATTTTTACAGTTTACACTTATTTCCACGATATTGTTGTACGATTTTGTGCTTTAGTGTATAAAATTATGATGAGATAAAATAAGATAATATTATTATTAACATAAATTAAATTATGTTATATTATTTTATGCTTAATATATGTAAAAATTAGATAAAATAATTTATTTATTGATCAAAATTATTATTATTCAAATTTTATAAAATTTAAATAATTGATATAGTTTTTAAAAATATAATAAGATATAAAAGTTTAATTTTATTAATTAAAAATAATCATTCTATTTTGAGAAAATTGAATCATTCTATAATAAAATAATAATTAATTTTCTTTATAATCCTCTCTCTTTATTTAAATACAAATCAAATATAATATTAAATCATTATCATTCTATATTACTAATAATCTTATACATCAATCATAACCTAAATTCACTAAATATAATAAATTAGCAATAGGATTACCATTGGGGAGAAGAGTCTTTTACGAAGTAAATAACAAGACATTATTTTTATATGCTTAAATGCTACCCATTTAAATGATGTTGTATTTTTTTTTTAGTTAAATACAAAAATGACTCTTATATTATATTTGTTTTGTTAGTTTGATACTTAAAAATATAAAATTTATAATTAGATATTTGAACTTTCATTTTCTCATACATTTTAATATTTTAGATTAATATTATTAGTTAAATTATTGATGTAATATGAATATCTAATAAAATTATAGCACATTTCAAAAATGTCTAATTGTCGTCACATTATCCATTATCTTGTAAGTATTAAGAGAATATAAAAAATCTTAAAAAGTTAAAAAAAAATTAGAAAATCTAAAAAGTTTTAAAAATTTTTTGAAAATTAAAAAATAAAAATATGAAAAACTAAAGACAAATCCCAATATTTTGAAAATTTTTGAAAAATTCTCAAAAATTCAAAAAATTTGAAAATTTTTAAAAATATAAAAAAATTTGAAAAAAAAATGAAAAATTAAGAAAGGTACAAAAAATAAAAAACAAATAATGAAAAATTAAAGAAATCTAAAAATTAAAAAAAATCCTACAAAATTCAACAAAATATGCAATTTTTAAAAATACCCAAAATTTTTTAAAAAAACTAAAAAATTTTTAAATTTCAAAATTTTCTAAAAATTAAAAAAATTAAAAATTTCAAAAAAAAATCTGCAAAAATCTTAAAACTCCAAAAAAAATTTAAAAAATCTAACAAATTTTAAAAAATAAAATATCTTTGAAACTTTAAAAACACAAAAAGTAAACAATGTAATTTACAAAAAGTCACAAAAATTCAAACAAAATCTATAGAATTTAAAAAAAATAAAAAATTCAAAAAAACAAAATGAAAAATATTTGAAAAATAAAAATTTGAAAAAAATTAATATAAAAAAAAAATAAAGGTGGTGCGATTTCTTTAAGATTATTTTCAATTTTTTATTTTTCAAAATTTTTTTTTCTTTTGGAATTTTTTAAAAACGTTTTATAAATTTTTTTATTTTTTGGGAATTTTATAATTATTTAGATATTTTTGAAATATTTAGTTCTTTTAATTTTTCAAAATTTTCTTTTTAATTTTTTAAAATTTTCTTTTTAATTTCTCAAATTTTGTTTTTATAATTTTTTAGGATTCTTTTAATCTTCAAAATTTTTTGCCAATTTTTGGATTTTAAAAAATAAGTTAGATATTTTCTTTTTTTTTTTTTTTTGCAAATTTCATTTTAATTTTTCAGATTTTTAAAAATTTTTAGTATTTTTTAAAAAAAATTTCAAAAATTTTAAAGTTTTTTGGATCTTTTAATTTTTAGATTTTTTTTCCAATTTCTTGTATTTTTTATATTTTTTTCTTTTTATTAAAATTTCTTTTAATATTAACATGTCATTTGATAATCTAGCAATAATTAAATAGTTTTTACATGTGTAATGGTTTATTAAGTATTCATGCTACATCAACAATTTGATTAATGTCGTTAGTTCGAAATACCATAATATATAATGAAATTAAAGTTCAAATATTTAATTGTAAATTTTTATTTTTTAAATATCAAACTAACAGAAAACATATAGCATAGCGACCAAACAAATATTTAATTCTATATTTTATCCCCATTCTAATAATTAATTTTTAATAAATTATATCATAAAAATGTATTTTTTATTATAAATATCATAAAATTTTAATAACAAAAAACTTCATTAAAATTTTAAATATAAATTCAAAGTTTAATTTAATTTATTTATGTAGTCACCTTTAAGAGGTGGTATCTAAAAAGTTGAAGATTCGAATCCTAACATTGAGAGCCCTTTCCATTATTCTCTAGTTAAAACTTTCTATATACCATAAAAATTTTTAAATATCATATTGTTAAAGAATAAGAAAAGCGTGAAAAACTAAAAAAACTTTTGAGGTGAGATTAGATTAATGTTGCTGTTAAGATCCAAACAAAAATTATCTTTTAACATTTTATTTATATACATTTAATAATGATTTTTATGAGATTTAACAACGATATAATATCTAAATTTATTTATGAATCGAGCTATTTTGAACAAAAATTTTAAAGTTAATGAATATTTTTATTATTAAACTATTAATTTTATTTTAATTTAATTAAATATATATGAATAATTTTTAACTAAATAGCATTTTACACATTGTTTTATTTTTTATTTTTCTTTTGATTTTCATAACATGTGTAAAGATAAAGAGTGAAAATTTATAATAAAAAGTACTAATAAAATTGTCCACTTGAAATATAAAAGAGTTTAGTTTAATATAGTTTTGCTATGAACATCAGTATATAGCAAGTATAACATAACAACAAAGTTTTTTTTTTTTTTCAAAATTTGGACAGGAAATGATATTTTGATCCTTGCATTGCTTACTTCATGTTGCTACAATGAAAGGAATAAAAGACTTAGTACTAACATATTACTAACAACAAGAAAGAAAGTTGTAACAATATTATGAAAAAAGTAAAAGCAGAACCAATAGGCTATCAATAAATGGTGAAAAGATTGGAAGGAAAGATAATATCATCCAAAAAGTTACACTATAATAACATAAATATATTTATTAATTAATAAATAAAATGTTTTAAAAAAACTAAAACTGCTATTTTCCACTATTTAGAAAGGTTTAATAAACTATTTTTGTTCTAGCATTACATACAATAAGCAAAAATTTTGTCAAGAATTTTGCCAAGTTCAATGATATATTTAAAACTATGCAATGGTATATGCAATTAAATGCCATTCTATTATTGAATTGGTGTATTTAAAACTATACAATGGTATATGATCATATTCTTGAGAGCCCCGAGCAATTATATTCCTATAAATTTTGAAAGCAAAAGCTTTTATTAAACACAAAGCTTTCCAAACGAAATTTGCCAAGTGCAAAACTATTTGCAACTTATAGAAAGTATAGTTTAGTAGATGAGTTTCTCTTGTTGGTGTTTGCATAGTTTGCACACTTTTGGTCTTTTATGCATCAATTATATGAACTTTTGTAATATAAGATTACTTGTTTTACTTACAGGGATGGCATACTTTTGTATCCAACTATTCAAGAACTAAGTAATTGTTTTCTTACCTCTTAAACCACACTTGGCATGTCCTGTTTGGTTTAAATGATTGATATTACCCCAAGCTTTTATGGTCCAAACATTATTATTAGATAAGCAAAATATATTTATAAAGGTAGTTAGTATACTCTCCTAAACTTGTTTGTGCAAGGCGACCTATAGAGTGCTCTTATGACACCTTTATAAGTGATTAAAATGACTCTCTCTTTTTTCTCTTGCCATTGGGATTTAAGAAACAATAAAAAAAAATATAAAGCAACAACATTTTATACCCTAGTAGTAGTGATAAGGAAAAGTACAAATTTTAAGGTAAATAAAGTAACACCAAAAGGTTTAATGGTACATATGGAATTGAAAAATATTTAAAATAAGTAAAAATGTAAGTACTCTTATTCTTTAATTTGATTATAGTTCTTGAAGAGTTCAAGTTCCTTTTGATAAATGACATAAAGGAAACATTAATAGAATATAAGGGATAACAAAATGAGTGTATACAAAAACTACAACTTAACAAAACATGGAACATAGCATTGTTTATTATCAGCTAACAAACTAATCTATCTATTGTCAAATATCTTTAACAATTACAAACGTATTCTTATATAAGCATTTTTTTTTTTGTAGAAACTACTTGGTTCCTCTGTTTTTCTACAACGTATAATGCTTTCAATAACTACAGGATATGTAACTATAAGAATTATTATCCGAACAAAATTTCATGTTAAAAGATGTAATTAAACAATGATCTATACATATTTCCTTTCTGAATCATTAATCATAAAATTAAACTGTAAATTAACAATGAAATGCTAGTTGTATAAATAATTACATATCGATTTTAAAGTAATAAGGTAAGAATTGTTGTAAAAGGTGTGAGGCATATCTCATACTCAAATTTAATACCAAAATCTATAAGAATAGTTATTATACGCATGCTAAAGAACACAAATGAGTTAATTTATAGATAAAAACATAAATTTAGTTTCAAATTATAGAAGATTAGTTTAACAATGACTTCATTAAGCAACCAATAATTCATGCAAAATATGTGGTTTACCCATGACAAAATGTGCTTCTGACAAAATATGTTGGCTTCAAGATTGGAAACAAATGATTCCCCTTTAAAAGGATTAAAGGAAGAGTTCAAAAAATAGAGTAGTTAAATTAATAAATATTGGGGAAATTTCAATTAACAAAAGTATAAAACTTTTATCACCTATATAGTTGATAAACATGATTAGATATTATTTAACAATAATAATAGAAAATTAATAGATCTCAGTATTATCATAAAGCTACTTTTAATGTATCTTCCTTAAATGCTCTCTGATAGTAAAAGGTGTTACGAAAGCCGTAATTTTTTTTCAAATTAAAAATCCTTAAGTTTAATAACAATATATTCAATAATCAATAGATCTCAGTATTATCATAAAGCTACTTTTGATGTAACCTCCTTAAATGCTCTATGATAATAAAAGGTGTTACGAAAGTCATAATTCTTTTTTTTTAAATTGAAATCCTTAAGTTTAATAACAATGTATTCAATCAGGTTTCATGGAATAATAAATCTTAAAATTGAAGAAACTATCAATTGCAAGTAAAGGTGTAAATGATACATTAGTATTCGCAAGCTATTCGGGTTCGATTTGAATAAAACTCGAATTCGATTCGATTATTATCAAGTCGAGTTCGAGCTCAAGTAGCTCGACTCATCGATCGAGCCGAGTTTGAGTATTCTTATACCCACTCGAGTAGCTCGCGAGCCTAATCGAAATTTTTATTTTTAAATTTTTTTATTATTTTAATTAATAAAATATCACGAATTCGAGCTTGAGCACCAATAATCAAATTTTTATCGAGTATAAGAATCGAGCTTATTTTATCATATTAATCGAGCTTAATTGAGCGAATTCGAGTAGCTTGATTTTGATCACGAATCGAGCTCGAGCTAGAAAAATGAAACTCGATCAAGTTTGAGTCGAGAGTTGGGAGCCGAGCTCGAGCTTCTTAATGTATTGGTTCGACTCGGTTCGATTACACTCCTAATTGCAAGAAAACAAACCTACAAAACAATCTTTTACGATGTAAGGATTGTGTTTGGTACAGAGTGAATAAAACTGTAACTAAAAAAATAGGAAAATGAAACAAAAACTTAAATTAAACAAATTAATGGTAGAGCCTTTTGGTTTTTTTTTTTTTTTTGAGAAATTACATTCATAATCAAGTATGGATGATTTTTTTTATGAAACATTATAATTAACTCCAATTGGTAATAAATGAGAAGGGAATGAATTCGGTTGCAAACCTAAGAAAATTACTGATTTGATATTCAAATATTATGAATTTGAACACATTCCATTGGTACTTCATCTTTTCTTTAAAGGTAAAGAAAGTTATAACTTGATTGGAATTATTGAAGGAAGTCAAATGGCTTTTCGATGAATTGAAAGCATTTAAGGAGATTAATAGAATTGGAAGGTTTCTTTTGACAAATATGAAGATAGATTGCAAGCTTGGGGGAGATGGTGCTTAAGATGAGCTTGATGTGGTATCTTCTAATGTAGCAATATCCACGTATCATAATTCTAGATTATAAAAACAAAAATATATATAAGTTAAATATTTAATAAGTATCTTGAATAAATATAAAAATAATAATAAATTAAATTTTATATCCTGAAAAACAGGATGTTGACTAAATATTTTAAAATATTAATAAGACTTATCTGTAAACTCCTTTATTAAAGTACATGTTTTTAAGGGTCAAAAAGATTGATAATTTGAAAAAAAGAGTATGTTGACGCGCTATGACTGTGGCGGGGAATGTGAATTCTGGCGAACACTCTTCGTACCGAATGAACAAAGAAGAACAACGAAAGAAGTGGATTTTGGATAATTGGATGAGATGCTGTCTCGTTACTGCGTAACGCACTCCGTAACGCCAACAAAAGCCCCAGCCAAAGGCCAAAAGCTCACTCATTCCCCCTCCCCATTTCTCCCCGTTTTGAGAAAAAAAAAAAAAAACACCAGCACAGCGCTCCATACATAAATATTCAACGCACACGCCCTCCTGAAATTGAAAAACACAAAAACAAAAAGGCATCATCTGACAAATACCAACCCACCCTCCCCACTCTTGTTTTTTCTATTAATTTTAAACCCAAAAAAGAAAAAAAACTCCCAAAAACCAAAAACAAAAAGCAAAGAAAAAAGAAACAATGGGATCGATTGCGATGAGAGAGACAAAGAGTGTTGTTCTTCGCTGTTGTATTGTTCCTCGTTTTTCAATTTCTCAAAATTATTATAGTAGAATTTCACATCCTTTCTTTTTTTTGTTTTTATTTTATTATTATTATTATTATTATTATTCCTCAACAATCTTTCAACTTCCATTATTATTATTGTTTTCATCCGCGACACGACTAATGCTATTATCTTATTTATTATTTGGAATTGTTATTCCCCAAATCTCACCGCACATCTCAATCACACAGTCACCAATACAATATCGATTCTTAGAGAGAGAGAAACTTTTGTTTGTACGATTCGCTTTTCATTTAGAGAGAGAATGACTTTGTTGTAGTAATGTATAAAAGTGTATTTAATTTAGTTATTTAAATTCATTTTTATTTTTGTCAAATCTTATCCACCTTCAATCCCTAGTTTTAGACAGAGAATCTCTCTGTTTTCTTCTTCTTATTTTTTTTCGTTTCGGTTTTTCTTTTAAAAAAATTTCGGGAATTTTCTTGCTGTTGAAGCTCCTTGATGATCTCATTTTCAGAGTAAAATTCAATTTCAGCTTTGTTGTTGAATTTCTAGGGATTTTTAGTCTCACCTTGAAAAATGGAGACTGGTGGTGTCAGTGGCGGTGGAGGGGGTGTGGGCGGAGGTAGTTCTGAAGGAGAGAAGAAGCTTCCGGAAGGAGAAACAAAAGTCAAGCGGAAAATGAAGACCGCTTCTCAGCTTGAAATACTAGAGAAAACATATGCCAGTTCGTTATACTTTCTTACTTATTTCTCTCTCAATGGCTTTTTACGGTTAATTTGTTATAGTATTTGCTCATTGATGCTATTTCAGTGGAAATGTACCCGTCCGAAGCTACACGGGCAGAATTATCGGTGCAGTTGGGGCTTTCGGATAGGCAGTTACAGATGTGGTTCTGCCACCGCCGGCTTAAGGATAGGAAGGGACCTTCCGTGAAACGGCAAAGGAAGTATTCCATGTCGCTAGCAGGGGAGGAAATGGGAGGTGCTGAGGCGGGAAATGAGCATGGATCAGGGGGCTTCAGTTTGCTCGGTCATGAGCTGGACCTGAGAAGGGCGGTTCCAAGAACTGGAATGACTGTTCCAAGGTATTACGAGGTGCCTCGCTCTATCGTGGAGCTGGAGCTTCGCGCTATAGCATTTGTGGAATTACAGCTGGGTGAGCCTATAAGGGATGATGGTCCTATGCTTGGGATGGAGTTTGATCCCTTGCCACCTGGTGCATTTGGTGCGCCAATAGGCAAGTTGCTGAAAATTTTCTTCTCTTGCTCAAAGAATGTGAATCTGGTTGTTGAAATTAAGCTTAATTATGTGTTCGATTAAGAAAGTTTGACATGGATCTTGTACTGATAACTTGTTAGATTTTGACAGTGCTAGTTTGATGCTAATTTTAAAGGTTGTTCGTTTGGATTTCAACTTGCTTAACAACGTGTAGCTTCTGGGTCAGGTTTCTGTAACATGTTAATAGTTACTAGAGGAGGTAGATTGCTTCAAGTTAGGAAATCAGAAGAAATATTTGCAAGTGATGAATGTTCATTACTTGAAGAAAAGGTTAAAACTTCCTTTGGTTAAGTCAGCTGTTGGTCTTAACTCTTACCAGTAAAAGCAATAATGCATGTGTCAAAATATGGTATGGACTAGATAGCACTGCAAGGAGTGGTTTCTTCCTCTGCAACATTTAAAGCTTGATCTAAACTGCATGCCTATATTGAGCCGCTACTGCCCACTAGCGTGCATTTTCTATTTAAGTGACAGTTTAGTTCGGTTTAAATTTTATTCTTCATTGGCTTGATTTTCTATTCTTCCTGAATTGTTTCTATTTTCTTCTCGAAACCTGTGGCATACAGTTATAGCCATACTTAATGTCAACATATTGTCATTGGCTTTGTGTTTAACTGTTATCTTTTGAAGTTGCAACCTGTTAAATGTTTTTATGTTTTGCTAGTAGCATCAACGGAAGTGCAGCAGAAACAACCAGGACAGCCTTTTGAGACCAAAATATATGAACAACGCGATACAAAAACAGTCAAGGTTAGATTTTATTCACCACATATCCAACATGGGTAGAAAACAATGTGAATATCCTGATTAATTTCTCCTTAATAATTGCTTTTGTCTTACATGCTTTTAATTAATGCCTTGCCTCTTTAGGTTTGGTTAGTTTTACTGGCTCCAAGGAAAACTATAAAATGGGACCATATATTAACTAGACTTTGGGCAATTGGGGGACTCGAAAATCATCTGTCTTTTGTGTATCTCATGATTGGAATAATTTAATTTTCTGCTTCTCTAATACTGATAGAAAACATATTGGATGACAAGTCTCAAATTGTTTTGGGTGCTTTCTTATGGTGAATATTTTATGCCTGTTAACTACTTGATTTATTAGTAAAATAAGTTCAGTTGATGCAGTAGAAACAGTTGTGTTCATTCATTCTTCTTTATTTAACCTGCCGCATCTTCCAATCCTCTGATTATGTGATTTGGTAATCATCATCTGTAGACCATTGCAGAACACTTTATTTTCCCTATATCAAAATCAAGTGTAGTGATAAGAAATTAAGAGAACCTGTTTCATCCTCAGGGTTCTATGAGGGCTGTTCGAGAATATCAGTTTCTCCCAGAGCAGCCCACTGTTAGAACTGAAACATATGAAAGAGTTGCCCCATCCTACAACTATGGTTCACCCACTGATGGTCCAAATGCCATGGCCACATCATTGTCTGGTGGGCGTTCATCTGTGCATGGGAATGAACAAGTACCTTCTGGAAATGGTTTTCCAGGTCAGATGCCTAATTTGAATCTTTTGCCTCAGCAAAGCAGGCAGGGGCATCTCTTACCTACTGCTTTAGGAGAGTATGATAATGTTTCACGAAAGAACTCTTTAGCAAATACTGCTGTTGATGCTAATATTGGTGCTCACCCAATTTCTGCGCTGGAAAGCCCATTTGTATCATCTGACAGGAGGGTCAGTCTCGATGAGGATGTTTTGCGAATGGAGAGGAAGCGCAAGGTGTACTGTTATTTGCAATGAAGTATCCCATGGCTTTTAATCAAGAATGGTATCTCATGAATCTTTATCTGTGTTTTGTAGAGCGAAGAGGCTAGAATTGCACGTGAAATTGAAGCCCATGAGAAAAGAATTCGAAAGGAGCTTGAAAAACAGGATATGTTGAGGCGAAAGGTTTGGCTTACTATATTATACCCTTTTTCTTGGTCTCTGAGATTTATATGTTATGCACCAATACTTTCTTTGTATGTCAAGAGAGAAGAGCAAATAAAAAAAGAAATGGAGAGACATGACCGTGAAAGGCGGAAGGAAGAGGAGAGGCTACTACGTGAAAAGCAACGAGAGGAGGAGAGATACCAGAGAGAGCAGAGGCGTGAACTAGAGCGTAGGGAGAAGTTCTTGATGAAGGAATCTGTTAGAGTAAGTCTTGGAGCTTATTGTTTTAAGGATTCTCAAACTTTAGCACATGCGTTTCGGGTGTAATTATGTCTTTTTATGTATGCAGGCTGAGAGAATGCGGCAAAAAGAAGAACTGCGTAAAGAAAAGGAGGCAGCTAGGCTTAAAGCTGCTAATGAGAGAGCTATTGCTCGCAAACTTGCTAAAGAATCGATGGAACCTATAGAGGATGAACGCTTGGAACTCATGGAGTTAGCTGTATCAAGCAAAGGGCTGCCTTCAACATTGTCACTTGACTTTGAAATCTTGGAAAATCTTGATATATTTAGAGGTAGGTCATTTTTGATGCCTCCTTTGCTACATTCTTCTATCTTTTAAACAATTCCTTCTGAGGTCTATGCATCTATTGTTTTAGTGAAGGTTGCTTTGATCTCTAGTGGAAGAAGAAGACTATTGATTTGATCCACAATTCAGCCATTTAATTTATTTTATTTTCTTCTGATCATTATGATTTCCTAATTGAACTAATAATCTCATCCAATGAATGTTTCTGGGTATTGGTTCTGTCTGTATAGTCTGAACTGTGACTACTACAATGGTGTCATATTGCATGACTTTGTTTATTGTCTAAGTTTGAACATCTGAACCATCAACCTTGTGGGACTATGCCTGGTTTTGATCCTCTTGATTGCCTGTTTGTATTCTCAGCTTACCTGGTATGAATTTTCAGCTTACCAACTGTCTTTTTTATATATATATATATATATATCCTTTTTGCCTGTTTTAGATAAGCTGTGTGAGTTCCCGCCTAAAACAGTGCAGTTGAAGAGACCCTTCTCAATTCAACCATGGAACGGTTCTGAGGAGAGCATAGGGAATCTTCTTATGGTGAGCTTGTCTAGTTGTTTTCTTAAAGGATACTTTTGCAGCTTTTCCTTTTCCTGATTAGGAGATGATCTTAAATTGACTGGAGTGTAATAGCAAGTCTGAAAGTGCTCATATTATATTGATACTGTTCTACCGAAGTTACAATCATATAGTATCTTGTTTGATTTAATTAATATGTCACTTATTATTTACTGATTATTAATAGAAATGATGAAAGCAAAATCTTAGGGTTCTTTTGCTAACATTTGCATTCTGTTTACTGTTTTTGTTTTCATTTTTTTGAACATATATGTGTGGTTGCATGTTTTTCGTTCTCAAAAAACCAAAAAGAAAAGCAAAATTTTCAAAATTGTTGGATGCAAAAAGAAAAAAAGAGAATGTTTCCAACAGTTTTGGACACAAATTTTACAACGTGGACACTGACCTGCTTCTGAACAGTGCCCTGTTATATGAACTGTCTCCTTTTACAACAACAACAAACTAAGCCTTATATCCCATAATTCTAGGGTCGGCTGTATTAGAAGGCAAAAAAAAGGAATCATGTTAGGTCATAGATTTAAATTTTCTTGCGCCACTCGTTTCTATAAAAAATAACCTTTTCATTTACTTCCTTAACTCTCGTATAATTTCTTATTACTTGTATCCTCATTTCTCCTAACTAATACACAGATAGGCCTACGTTTCACATGTTCAAATCATCTCAAACAGCTCTCTATCATCTTTTGCTTAATTCGGACTACCCCTTTCCCTGAATCTCTTCATTATGATTTTGTCTCTTCTAGTCTTACCATAGATCCATCCAAGTATCCTCATCTCAGTTACGCTTATTTTCTTCTTATGTTATTTCTTAATGGCCTCAATTTCATGTAACAATGTAGGCCTTACAGTTCTTTTATACAACTTTGCCTTTAAAGTCATGTTGCGATCACACAACACAGCCAAGGTACTTGGCCACTTCACTCATGCTGTTTGAATCTTATGATTTACATCCCTTTCTATCTCAGCGTCGCTCTGAATAATTAATCCAAATATCGAAAATGACTACACTTTGGTACTACCTCACCATCCAACTTATTCACACTAGCATTCGCTTCGCTATGACTACTAAACTTACATTCCATATATTCAGTATTAGGTCTACTCAATTTAAAGCTTCAAGACTCCATATATGCCTTCATAATTCTAATTTTGCATTAAGATCATCACAAGTTTTAGCAACTAAGACTATATCATTGATAAATAACATACACCATGGCACCTTATCTTTGATATATCTAGTGAGCTTGTCCATAACTAATGAAAAAAGAAATAGACTTAGTATTGAAACTTGATGCAATCTTAAGGTAATGGGAAAGCTATTAGTCAAGCCCCTAAATGTGCTCACATTCGTTACAACTCCTTCGTACATATCTTTAACCATGTTAATGTATTTTATAGGAACCCCTTTCTTCATTAGGGCCCACCAAAGCACTTCTTGGGGAACTTTATTTTATGCTTTCTCTAAGTCGATAAATACCATATGTAGATTTTTTTTTTGCTTGAAAACCCTCCAACAAAAGGCTCAATGGGTGAATTGCCTATGTTGTGGAGCGTCCTAGCATAAACCCAAATTGGTTTTCAGAAAAAGTTACCTCATGTCACAATCTACATTCAATTACTCTTTCCCATAATTTCATAGTATGACTCATCAGCTTTATTCCTCAATAGTTTGAATAATCTTGTATATCACCTTTATTCTTTTATAAAGTCATTAGAGTACTCTTCCTCCATTTTTCTGGCATCTTTTGAGAACGCCAAATTTTGTTGAAAAGCTCTATCAACCATCCTTTCTCTATTTCACCCAAGCATTTCCAAACCTCAATTGGGATTCCATCTGGTCCTACAGGTTTCAGGTTTCTTTTCTTTAATTCTTCTTGAAGCCTCTTAAACCTCATACCTTTTAATGTTACGTTTGAACACATGATTTATATTCATAAAAGGTATGTTAAACTCATCTATGTCATGCTCAAAATTGCCATTAAAGAGATTATCAAAATAATCTCTCCATCGCTTCTTAATCTCCTCATCATTAACTAAAACTCTTTTGTCACCGCCTTTGATTCATCTTATGCCATTAAGATTCCTACTCTTTTTATCGCTCATCTTAGCAATTTTGAACAACTCTTTTTCTCCATTTCTTCTCTCTGGTTTTATTTTCAAAAAATGACGCAAGATGAAAAAGTTATGATGATGAGTCTTGAACTCGAACTAGACATACCACACCATTTTCTTGCCCTATCATGCAACAGCTGCTTTATAACTAAATATGTTTCCTTTAATTAGAAATTGAAAAAAAAGGAAAATGAAACTCTTGAAAATAGAAAACATAAAAAATATTTGGCTATGTTACCAAATGAAGCCTTGTCTAAAGTAATTAATTGTTGGTTTTCTACCCTGAATTTCCACATTTTTATGTTTACTGTGCAGTCCATCGAGAACTATCTTTTATATCAGATGCATTCATAATCATTATTATTTACCATTTTCATGATATTGTAATCGTATTAAGGATTAGGGTTCTTTTGCCCTTGATGTTTTGTGTGAAATCTTTATACTACTTGTGATTAAACATAAAAATATGATGTTAGTCATTGGCCTTGTTATGTTTTCTTATACTCAGTTTGAAATTATGCACGTGTATTCAAGCACATCATTAGACTGCCTATCTAAAATGGATGGGTATGCATTGTAGTTATCAAGGTTTGAATTGTGATGTATATTGTAGGTTTGGAGGTTCTTAATTACCTTTGCAGACGTTCTTGGACTTTGGCCTTTTACTCTGGATGAGCTTGTCCAAGCTTTTCATGACTATGTAAGTTGTCTTTCTGCCTTTCTTTATTCCTTTCTCCTTCTAAATGGGATCTTTATATTCATTTAAATCTTTTAGGAGCTGAGATCCTTTTTTATTAATCTTATTTGATATGGATTTGCACTTTTTTTTTTTTTTCTCTCGGATGTTTCAGGATCCAAGGTTGTTGGGTGAGATACATATTGCCCTTCTGAGATCTATTATCAAAGATATCGAGGATGTTGCACGAACACCTTCCACTGGGCTGGGAGCTAGTCAAAATAGTGCTGTTAATCCTGGAGGTGGGCATCCACAGATTGTTGAAGGGGTAAGCAGTAAGCTATTCTATCTTTGGCTGTTACCACTATATATCTCTTCTTAGTTTATGGTTTGGTTGTTTGTTCACATCTGATACTTTCTCCCCTTCCTTCCCTGTGCTGCATTCTATATTTAGGCATATGCTTGGGGTTTTGATATACGCAGCTGGCAGTGCCACTTAAATATGTTGACATGGCCTGAGATTTTGCGGCAATTTGCTCTGTCTGCTGGATTTGGGCCGCAGCTGAAGAAAAGAAATATTGACCAGGCATATCTTTGTGATGAAAATGAGGTGCTTTTCTTTGTCAGTTGGTTATTTGGTTTTAATTTTATTCTTCTTTATCTTTTCAGTTGAAAAATAATCTGTGTTTTCATGTTGAATGTTAAAATTCATTTCTCATGGTTTTTTTTTTTTTTCCTTTTTTTGATAAATGAGATTTGTATTCATCCAAAGAAGCAGGCTACAAAGAGTAGCAGCTGCACCGCAGTAAGCTATTCATAACATCAGTAAATGAACAATAAGAACAGCAGGCTGTTCTTACTGTATTCTTAACTAATGTAGCAATGCCGTTTCCAGTTATGTAGTTGTTACTTTTGAATGTAATGGTTGCCTTTTCGTTTATGTTACAGAATTCAATAAATACTGCTTGTATCACATCTTTGATTTGGTTTACTCGATAAGAATGTTATACATAGTTGACTTTTCTGAGCAAACTGTGTTGATTTTCGGCCTTAGAAATGGGAGTCTTTTACCGTGGGATGCGACATTTTTCGGGCTTCTTTTATTTTTTAGTTTTAACTGATCAAGTTAGGAATGGTACTAAGAAAAATTTTGTATTACATTGAAAGTTTGCTTCTTCATGGAGTTCTGAATGCTGTAGTAAATCATGTATTTCTTTAAATAATATCATTGCTTAGCTGAATGGGGTAATATCATTGCTTTGCTGAATGGGGTATTGATCAGGAAAACAGATGATAACCAAGTCTTCAACTACTATTCTCGGATTGGGTTGGTTAGTGTGAATTATTAGTCAATAAACAAGGTTAAAGATGGGTATTTCTTGCTTCGTACATACAGAAACCGGTTTGCCTGTAGAATATACTTGACAATGCCAATATTGGGTAAGATATGTTGGTTTACTGAATATATTATCCATTTAAGTATGTGACTATTTTGGGATGCAGATAGTAGAAAGAGTTTGTATATTCTGAAGTAGTAGGCAATCTTTCTTTCCAGTAGAACTTTTGTACATAACATTAGTGAGTGGAAGCAAGCTATTCTAAAGAGCTCTCTTCCCAGTCTATTATTGTTAATTTATTCTTGTTTTTTCACTTTATGCCGATTTCTAATACACCATAAATTGCCTAATCTTTATTTCCTTCTGTTTTAGATGTCTCTTTCTCTTTGTAAAACATTCATGTGTCTGAGTTGATTGGTATTGAACATAATTTTCTTCAAATTCTTCTTTTCCTTTGATGAATATTTTTAAGGTAAGGTCATTGAAGCAATTTGAACAAAATCCAGCCTGTGAGCATGTCAATTTTCTTGTTACCAAAAAAAATCTTACTGTTAAGGACATAATTTATGAGAGTGCATCCCTGATAGTAATACGTTAAATTATGATGTTAAGTCAACTAGCTTTGAATCTGTCTTCTTTAGTTTTTCATTTTTGTACGGAATTATTAATCTATCTTCAGTGTTAATGTAGGGTAATGATGGAGAAGACATAATTACTAATTTGCGAAATGGGGCAGCAGCTGAAAATGCTGTCGCTATAATGCAAGAAAGGGGTTTCTCTAATCCACGCAGATCTAGGCATCGCTTGACACCTGGAACTGTTAAATTTGCTGCATTTCATGTTCTCTCCATTGAGGGTAGCAAAGGCCTGACAATATTGGAAGTTGCAGAGAAGATTCAGGTAAGCTAAGTTGGTGACCATGCAGTTCTATGGTGCTGCTCTAGACTAAACTCCTTTTATCTCTTTTCTCACATATTCATTTTTTTCCTAATTCTGGTGTGTTAACTAAGAAATCGGGTCTGAGGGATCTTACAACGAGCAAGACCCCAGAAGCTTCTATTGCTGCTGCTTTGTCAAGGGATACAAAACTCTTTGAGAGAACAGCTCCTTCAACATACTGTGTGCGTTCTCCGTATAGGAAGGAACCAGCTGATGCTGAGGCAATTCTTTCTACAGCCAGAGAAAGAATCCGAGTATTTAAAAGTGGATTTATAGAAGGAGAAGATGCTGAGGGTGCCGAAAGAGAGGAAGATTCTGAAAGTGATATAGCAGAGGATCATGAGGTTGATGATTTGGGTGCTGAAATAAATTCAAAAAAAGAGATGCACAATTCTGAGGGAAGAAGCAGTTTTGATACAGAAACTGTCTTGGGAAATGGAAGGGAGAGTGGTGAGATCCTGGGAACCCAACAAGTTGAAGTTGGGAATGTATGTAAGGGTGTCTTATCACCACATGCTGGAGGCCTCGATAAGGTAAAAGATATTGATGCTTCTGTTGAGCAATCAGCAGATGCTACCAGAATTCATAAAGATGCTACTAGTGCTGGTCTAGAAGACACGGAAATTGATGAAAGCAATACTGGTGAACTATGGGTTCAAGGCCTTATGGAAGGGGACTACTCTGATCTAAGTGTTGAGGAACGCCTTAATGCACTTTTTGCTTTGATTTCCGTCGCAATTGAAGGAAACACTATTCATGTTGTTCTTGAAGTGAGATTTGCACTTTTTTTATTCATCGACCTAATAAAGTTCTGTTTGATTGCTTTTCTTCATATATTCTAAATTGAAATTGCTTTCAGGAACGCCTAGAGGCAGCAAATGCTTTAAAGAAGCAAATGTGGGCAGAGGTACAACTTGATAAACGTCGCGTGAAAGACGAGTTTGTATTTAGGGCAAATTTTTCGTCATATATGGGGAATAAGATGGAGAATAGTCTTGTGATGTCCTCAGCTGAATGTAGGCGAAGCCCCCAGATTGTTGGTGACAAAAAAGATAATGATTCCTCTGTTGGTCCAGTTGTGCCGCAAGAATGCTTAAATAATCCACCAAATGATCATAATTATCTTAACAACGTATCTTCTGAAGGGAACATGCCAATGCAAGATTTCTCTATTGGACCAGATAACTTCCAATATCAGCAACCAGGATATGCACTTGAAAGATCACGTTCACAGCTAAAATTTTACATTGGTCACAAGGCAGAGGAGATGTATGTATTTAGATCATTGCCTCTCGGTCAAGATCGTAGACGCAATCGATACTGGCGATTTATTACTTCTACATCTTGTAGTGATCCTGGCTGTGGCAGGATCTTTGTTGAGTTACTTGATGGTCGTTGGAGACTCATTGATGATGAAGAGGTTGCATTTCTATCCCAAACAGCTTTTAAATTCTGACTATGCTGTATATGTTTATTTATTTATTTATTTTCTTGTCATGCATGTTTTGCCTCCTGACATATATTAGTTGCTTTGGTGTGTTCAATTTTCTACTTTTTCCTCTCTGCAGGGTTTTGATGCTCTATTGTCATCTTTGGATGTGCGTGGGATCAGGGAATCCCACTTGCATGCAATGTTGCAGAAGATTGAGATGTCCTTTAAGGAAGCTGTAGGGCGGTATAAGCTGCATGTCAATAAGAGGCAAAATGGAGACACCATTAAGACAGAAGCTAATGAAATGGCTTCAAGCCTTGATTGGAGTGTCTGTTTTAAAAGTCCTAGTAGTACTCTATGTGGATCTGATTCTGATATGTCAGAGACATCAACATCTTTTTCTATTGACCTTGGCAGGAATGAAAATGAGAAAAATGATGCCCTGAAGAGATATCAAGATTTTGAGAAGTGGATGTGGAAAGAACGTTTTAATTCGTTGACATTTTGTGCCATGAAGTATGGGAAGAGAAGGTGCAAGCAGCTGCTGGATGTGTGTGATTCCTGCTTCAGTATTTATTTTTATGAATACAATCACTGCCCTTCATGCCATATGACTTACATTGCCTCTAAGAGCACAGTAATTTTTTCTGAACATGTGGCTCAGTGTGCAGAGAAACTGCAAATGGGTCCTGATTTTGCTTTGGATGGTTCAGCCTTTTCTCCTCTGAGAATCAGATTGATTAAACTTCAGTTAGCTTTGATTGAGGTCAGTGCCTTCTTGTTTACACCCCTCCTTAGATTTGAGAGAAAGGTAATGAAGAGAGGGGATCTTTGATCAGTTAGAACCATAAATATGGGGTTTATGACCTAGGTATAATTATAGCTTGAACTCATCAAAAGAATGAAATGTGAGTATAGGGCAACAAGGGGTGTAGGGAGTCCCTGCTAGTTTCTGAGCCTTAATATTCTTTATTCTAGAATTGCATGCTTTTTTTGGGCAAGTATATTTGATTCATAAAAGATGAACCTTTGATTGCAGTTATCACCATAAGCTAGGACTTAATATCTTTTAAGTATGTTTTACTTAATGTTCTATGCAGCTTATGATCGTCTTCATTGTTGATTGGCAGGTTTCTATTCCATTTGAAGCTCTTCAACCTGCTTGGACTGAGGGCTATCGAAATTCTTGGGGTATGAAGCTGTACTCCTCAACAACAGCTGAAGAGCTTCTTCAGGTTTGTGTGCCAGGCATTTCTTGTGTTAATCATATATCTCAACTTCAAAAGTTTCCTCACTGTTATTGGTTCATAATTAAGAAAGAAGAGTGGCCGTCTAGTAACTATTGCTCTGCATGACATTAGTTTCATCTTCTTTGAAATGGATAAGTAATAAGTTCTTGGTGTTGAGAAGATTCAGAAGGGAATGATAGGATTGGACATGAAATAGAAAGGAAAGAGAAGAAGACTAATAGAAGGATGAAAAGAACATAGAGCTAGGAGAAACTTAGAAGAGAATGTGGGATTGGAAGATGACAATTGTTGTTTCTTTAATTTGACACAAGCTCACAAGGTGTGAAAGCCTAAGCAAAATTGAAAACTCATAGAATCTTGGCTATTGTTTTTCATTCAACTTAAATGGCTTCAGTCATGCAAGCTTAGGTTTCATTCACTTGAGTAATAATGTGTCATTGTAACTTTTTGGCAAACACATGCTGAATCGACAGGGTTTTTCTTGTTTCTTCCTAATCCTTCATTTTTTTTTTCAAAAGAAGTTGGGCTACTTACTGTTGTGCCCTTTTCAGATTTTGACACTGCTGGAAAGTTCCATCATGAGGGATAGTTTGTCCTTAAAATTTGAGACTACATGTGAAGTGCTGTCTCCATCTAACCCGTCAGGGCGTTTTGCTAATTATTCTTCCGATCTTGAGGCAGTTCCTGTACTTCCATGGATTCCAAAAACAACAGCTGCTGTGGCCCTGAGGCTTATTGAATTTGATGCAGCTATCTCTTACACTCTTAACCAGGGGTCAGAGACTCAGAGGGACAAGGGAGCTGGGGAATTTATGGTGAGCAATGCCCTTTATATTGTGAAAAAGTCCTGGATATATAAAGTAGAAATGATAACTCAAGAAAGAGAAAAAGGATGAGATTCCTTTTGGTATGGGTAGCATTGTGAGTATGCTCTGTTATGAGTATACATTGTTCTTTTGGTATAAGAAAAGGAATAGTGATATGGCTCAAACTTAAAATTTCAACCCAAGGAGAGCTTCTATTTGCACCACTCTTTTTGCTCTCCACACCCCCTTTTTGTTTCTTCAAAATTATCTTTAAATGAAATTATTCAATTATCCTTTTGCAAAAAGCTTTTAAGAGTCTTTGGATTTGCAAATCCATAAACTTTTAGAAGTTTTTAGGTTTGCATATCTAGAAGCTTTTAAAAGTTTCCTACTCTCGTTAGGAACATCATTCAAGTTGTTTAGGAATCTTATTGGAAACATCGTCGTTTCCTCTTACTCGTATGGTTGAAATCAAGAAGAAATTCAAAAACTCACATGCTGTAATCAGGTTCTCTTTTTATTAAAGATATAATTTTTGTTTGTCAATTTGTAAATGAAATTATAATTATTTGAAACAAATCGTAATTTTTCTTTGCAATGTTGTAGAAATTTTTGAAGATTGTTAGATTTTTTTTTAATTAAATTTTAGGGTTTAAGATTTAGGGTTTTTCTACAAAGGTTTAAATAACTTACTAGATATGAAAATTAGGTTAAGTTAATATTTGGTAAGTTATATAACTTACCGATACTCATATCCAATAAGTTATTTAACTTATTGGATATGGATATCTGGAAACTTTTAGAAGTGGGAAGGGTAATTAAATAATTTAACTTGGAGATAATTTTGAAAAAAAAAAGTGAAGAGCAAAAACTCCGAAGCAAATAGAAGCTCCCTTTTTTGAAATCAACATGCAAATAGAGCTCCCCTTTGATCTGAGTTAAGCTCAAGTGGTTCTTATGAGTTTTAACTAGTTCTATAATTTGATATCCTTGTGCATGCATTGAGATCCTAAAGGTTTTGGTTTTTTAAATAATAGTAATTAAAAATATATAATAAGCCGAAAGTGGCAATAAATGTAATTTCTTTCACTTGTCTTGAGGGCAAGCTCTGGGTTTGGGATTTTGTTGTGCTTGGTTCTTGGCCTCTTACCTTGAGTACCTCAAGTTAACTTCTAAGAGATGGGCATTTGTATGCTGTATCTTTAGTTGTCAGCATGGATGGTATTAATTATGGTTTGATACCTGTTAATGGCCAATGATCTGTTTGATTAATGGGAACTGCACTTACATTACATTTGAATAATATATATATATATATATATTTATAAATACATATATACTATTTTTTATTTCAAAGTAATTATTTCCTGATTGTTTCTGTTTCCTTTTAAGAAGCTTCCATCTAAATATGCTGTTGTGAAGAACCATCAAGATGACGAGACAATGCAAACCTCAAATCGGGTTGAATATTTACAAGAAGCAAGTTGGGTTGACGTGGGGATAGGGTTTTCTGGTTCTGGCCGTGGAAGAGGTCGTGGGAAGGGTGGCGTGATACGTGGTGGAAGATCTCAAAGAAGGCCTACTAGTTCTAGATCTGGATCTGGCAAGACAATTACAAATGCAGACAGTGGGAGATCAGGGCCAGTACTGGAATGGAAATCACGATCACGTGGCAGGGGAGGGCATAATCGTGGTCGACGTAGCAGCAGGAGGCCAAAAGTGGCAAAGAGAATGGTTGAGATTGCTGGTGGGAGAGAGAACCCCAAGGAAATCTTGGGGAAATCATCCAGAAGTTCTGCAGCAAATGCTTGGAATGGAGATGAAGTATCTAGATTAGAAGTGGGTACCGCTGATAACCCTAGCAGCTCTGAAAGATCTGAATACAATGATGAAAATGGTCAGGCAACAGGAGATGAATATGATTATCTGGCAGTAGATGACTATGCTGTTGGTTTCAATGTCAAAGCTGATGATGGGGACGGAAGTGATTACAATATAGATGGTGATGAAGGTGATGAAGATGATGACGTTGAAGATGGATATGATATTGCAGAAGAGGAGCAAGGGAATTTTAATGTTGGAGGGTACATAAATGATAATTCAGATGAGGGCATCAGGGATGCAGATGATCTAGAGGACTCAGACCCTTACGTGAAGCCATACGGGTATTCGACAGAAGCATCTTCAGATTTCAGTGAGTGAAGGACTTGCTGCAAATGCTGAAAGGATACTTTCTGTTCGATGGTGCTTCATTTGCTGTATTTAAACAGTGGTTTTATGGTCCGACAAAAAGAAAATTATGGTTTTAGGGAGGAAATTGATAACTGTGTAAAGCACCTCCATCGTACTAGAAGTATAATACAAACGAATAACCTTTAAAATTTGCTCGATAGCAGTATAATTTGCTCCGCTAACCAGCGTCAGCTTCCTCTGAGCTTCTCCGTTGTAGGGCTAGTTCTGGCTTTCATTTTGTTTCTGGTACCGGGAAGTCTTTTAAGCAAGAGGGCAAAAGAAATTGATATAGTATCTGAACTTGGAGTATTTGGGATGCAGTCTATTGTAAAATATTGTTAGGATATATGGTTAATAGTTACAAGTTAAATGATTTATTTTATTTAGCAAAGTTCTGGAGGTTGAGGCCTTGAGGGTCCTATGATTCTGCACTTGTAACCGTGTGAAGCAGATTGGCTTGTGCCGCTTTCAAGTTTCAAGAGCAGGATCTGAACTCTTCCTAATATCAAACAGTGCTAATAAATTCTAAAAAAATTGATAGATAAACAAGCATTTGGTATAATCTTTGAATAAAATTTGCCCTATGTCAAATTGCTAACATTTTGTATATATAGTTCTCAGGTTTAATGTAAAGCAAAACAAAGAATGAGATTTTTAGTTGTAGCACTTCACTTGTTGTGATATTAAAAAAAAAAAAAATTATTAATGATATTTTAAGTTACTTGCATACACCATTAACCTCGTCAATTTAGGATAACAATTTATGTTTCTGGCTCAAAGAGTCGAGCAGTATATGTAAGAAGTTTGCTGATGGGGAGTGGGGTTTTCAGCATCAGAAACCAGTAGCAGAGTGCAGAAGAGATTGGCTAGTCTTACAACAATTCTAACGGAGGGCACCAAAAGCGACGCTTGTACGCAATAAATCAAAAGAACCAACCAGCATTACTACCTTGTACATGTAAAAAGATCACACAGCCGTCTATTTTATGAATTCACAGTAAGTGCACCCCTTGTAGTTGTATCCATAAGAGTATTTTTTCCAGTGCGTCTCAACTCTTCTTGATCCCAGATTTCTAGCTGTTCTATTTTCAGACTTTGTTGGAAACTTGATGTTGAATTTGATTCTTAATTTTGGTTTCTTTGTAGGGTCTTTTAGGGTCGGCGTCTCTTTCCTTGGAACCACTTCCTCATAGTTTGGATGAATTACATTGTTGATTGGAATGGTTAAATTCCCGCCGGCCAGGGTAGTGAGATGAACTGTGTAACCTGTCAAGGCTTTCGGCAAGAGAGATCTTTTGTGTGACAATCAAGTCATTGCCATACCGAGTAACCCAAAAAGAGAGAACGACAACTAGAAAAGTAAATGAAAGTAAGAAACAATGAAGGGAAATCAATCAGATGCCTCTCTCTCTCTCTCCCCTTTTCCCTTACTGTCTGCTACTAATTCAGTTTCTGCCAAAGAAGGCAAGAAAGCATTGTTTGTTCTACAAATGGCTAGCTATCAGTCACAAACATACAGATTCTCTAAGATGGTTTTGTCCAAGCACTTCATAAATGCTGCATTTGAAGGGGGACCAAACTTCCCTCAAATTTTCACACAGTGACAGCTTCTTGTGAAAGCATGGAAAAGCAAGGTACCCTGGCCAATTCCAAATCGTCACAATAATGCTAGAAATATAGTTAAATTCACTAATGTTTCCGAAAACTGAAGTATGTAAATAAATCAATGAAATAGATTAAGAATAATATGGATATGATTTTTGCAAAATCTAATGAAGTAATTTACCATCCAATTCATGTTCTAGGATTTCAATTGAAAATATTTGCATGCTATTCCAACAGTACTCCAGTAAGAAACTGAAAATAAAAGGGTGTCACACGTATACACTGGAGAAAATTTTCCCAGTAATAAAAAGATTCAAGAGGGCGTAAAAAAAAAAAAAAAAAACAGCTCGTAATTCCTTTTATACGGAGAACAAAGAGAAACAGGGATAACTGTTACATAGCCCTTTAACAAAGAGCTTGTCTCGCTTTGTAACTCCTAATCTAAGTCAAATTAACAAAAACCAAACAATGTCTTGGACTGTAGAGAAAGGAAAACTTCCACAATCAAATTTCTTCAAATATCTACAAAGCAAAACCTCTCCAGCTAAATAAGGCCTCAATAACTTAAAACAATTCAACTTAATCACTCACCAGAATTCTTCCTGACAAGTGCAAAGTAGCCCAAAACGGCACAAACAGCAGCAACAAGATTCCCTTCCTTCAACAAAATCTTGAACACAAAGCCAGCGATCTCTCTCGTGATCTTTCTTCCTTCAAGAACCAAGGTCCGCTTTCGTTTCCCAAAGAAAGCAAGCAAAACCACAACAGTGATCCAGGTTACCAAAATGGCTGGCACAGCCACAGCCAGAGCTGCAACCATAGAAAGCAGCCCAAATAGCGCACCAAGAAGAACAGATGCATAGAGGGCAGGCCAACCAGAAGAAGAAGCAGAAGATGGTTGGGATTGACGCTTGTACCAAGAAAGTATTAATTTAAGGGAATTCCATGATGAAGCTAAAATGATGGCATAAACTAGCACAAATAGAAATACCCATGTTCTCCTTTTGCTCATAATTTTTAGAAATAACGTGTATGATGACGGCGGAGGAAAAGGTGGTTTTGTTGATGTTGGAGAAGTTGGTGGTGGTGTTTCTTGTTCTTGCTCCATGTCTTTCTTCTATTTGAAGTGGCTTTATGCCCTTGCTTTCTCTGTCCTCGCTTGGTGTCCTTGCGACCGTTCTATTTTGGATTTTAATTGTTTCGGGCTTCGGAATCGTTTTTATGGTGAGTTTCGGGTACCTCTCTATATCCGAGACTCTGAGATGAGAAGATGGAAAACTGGATATTATAAGATTGAGCAAACATGTTAACGGGGAATACCAAGCGCAATTGATGGCTTTTGAGGGGAGCACCTTGGCAGCATGTTACTTGGTCGTGTAGTACACGTGCTTGGTAGATGGTGTTATAGTTTTGGATGCTTGAAGTAATCCTATGTCTTTTTTTTTTTCTTTTCCTAATATAGAAAAACGTAAGTCTCTGAGGAGAACGACAGTTGAACTCTTTGAAGTTTTGCTATTAGAGACGTTTAGTTCATAGGAATTTTTGTTTTTGTTTTTTTTTTTTGTTTAAATTTTATTGATGGATATTTGATTTTAATATTTGATTTAAAATAATTTAATTTTAGAGAAAAATGATAAATTTTTAATAATATCTAAAGTTTTAAATTTATTTCTTTCTATGGTATTTTAAAATTTTGAAAAAAAATTACATTATTTTTAAATTTAATTTGAATAAAAAATTATAAAATAATAATTATCATTTTAAAAAGTATATCTAAAAATAATTATAAATAAATTATAGATTTTTATTATTAAAAAATTATTTTATATTATAATTAATGGCATTTGATATGAAAAATATCTTAAATAATCTTGTTAAATTTTTTTGAGATTATTTAAGACTTTTTTTAGATAAATAATACCTTAAATAATCTTGTTCAATTTTTTTTGAGATTATTTAAAATATTTTTAATAAGAAAATACCTTAAATAATCTCTTAAAAAATTAATCAATATTATTTAAGGTGTTTTTTTTATAAAAAATACTTTAAATAATAAAAAAAACTTATAAGTAATCCTAAAAATAAGTATAGAAATGATTGAACCTATGACTTTATGATTAATAGTCGTATGCTCTAAACACTCTTAAATTTTATAAGTAATGAAAAAGATTATTTAAGGTATTTTTTTAATTTTTAAAAAATATTATTTAAGGTATTTTTAATTAAAAATGTCTTAAATAATATCCTTTAAAAACATTAAAATACTAAAGAAAAATGTCAAACCTACAACTTTATAATTAATAGCTATATGTTTTAACTAACTAAGTTACTTTATTTTTTTTTTATTTTATCTCTTAAATTTTATAAGTAATAAAATTGATTATTTAAGAGATTTTTAATAAAAAAAAACTTTAAATAATACGTTTTAAAAAAAAAAACTTTAAATAATTTCAAGTATTTATTTAAGGTACTTTTGGATAAAAAATATTTTAAATAATCTCTTTTAAAAAATAAAAAAAATTATTTAAAATATTTTTAATTAGAAGCATCTTAAATAATCTATAATATTTTTTTATTAATGATATTTTATAAATAAAAATACCAATCAAATAAAATATTTATATTTTTTTATTATTAAAAGTATCATTTTTCATTTAGATATTTATTATTAATAAAAACTAATAAAAAGTTATTTTCATATATATTAAAGAGATTATAATAATTATTTAAAAATTAATATATGTTAATTTTTTAACAAAATAAATAAATTTAAATATGAGATACCTTAAAAATAAAAAAAATCTGAAAAATCATATATATTTTTTTAAAATTATATTTTCTTTCAAAATTTAAAATTTACTGAATGAAATGTCCCATTATTCTACGAGCTACACAACGAATTGGATTTAGACCAGAAGTATTTTATGGGCATCGTGGAGGTCAGGTCACTACTAAGATAAGATTTCTTTAAAAGAAATTCCATGAGATAATATGACCTTTTCACTGTTTGATATTGTTGGACAAATATGAACCATTAGATTTAACTTTTTCTGTGCTGGTCAGAGTCCACTTGTTCAATATTTTATTTGAAAAAATAATTATTTAAAATATTTTGATTTACTGAGTTATTGTCATATTTAAAACTATTTATTAGTAAAGAAATGACAAAATTAATATTATTAGTAAAAAATTGCGATTATTTTAAAAAAAAAATCTTTTTTATTACGATGAAAAATTACATGTTGTTTCCTTGATTCATAGTCAATGTTTAAATTTACATAAATAAAAAACGAACTTGATGTTTTATATAAAATATAAATAAGTAAATAAAAATATGGAAGGAAATTAGCTTTAAACCATATTTTATCCAAAATCCGAAAAGTTAAATTTTAAAATTATATAAATATTTAAATTCACTTAATTTTAAATTTTAAATTTTTTATAAATTTTAAATCTAATCATTTTCTAATTCCTTGCAGGAATGTCTCAATGTTATAGGCTCATACGAAAATAGAGTCATTCATCTTTCTTTCTTTCCATTTGCTCTCCCATAAATTTAAAAAATATATATTTTCATGCAAAATATTTTTTATTTATTACCATTTTTTGTAATTCTTTTGATACAAAGTACAAACTATCTCGTGGTCACTAAAATTTGAGAAAAAAATAAATCCAACGATCCCTAATTGCCCAACATATCTAACGGTAAGTAAACAATTGGATCTCAATGAATTCCATGGTAAGAAATCTCACTATAGCTGCACCCATTTTGGAGCGACAGTTACTTCTTGGGCTGAAGCTTGCAGTAACGGGTTTCTTGTTGGAGATGGCAACCGCCTCTTTTACACCTTCAGAATCTTAGAAACTCGGCAAGCTAACAATTTTTTCCTTATTTTATTTTATTGTTCTTCCTTACTAGGAAACCATGGAAAAACATTGTCATGACGGTTTTGAGATCGCTAGACGTAAAAATGATGTTTTAAAATCGAAAAAAATAAATAAAAGGGAGAGTCGTCACCAATCTTTATTAGGGTGTGATTGATTACTCAAAAGTTTATCTTTTTAATAAAACTATAAAAAGGATTTAAAATTTATCAAAAAGATAATTTTGATCTACGAAAAATCAGGTTAGTTCCGGGAGTCGATTATGCGTGAGAAAGGATTAGCACCCCTACAATGCTCATAAATTGGTATCATTTAATTATGCGCTATTTTCGGTGTTGGACAAAATTGGTTTTAATTTGAAATTTAACACTAATTTCTTTCATTTGAAAAAAATAAAATTTTGATAAAATATTTATTTAGAACTATTGAGAAAATCTTTAAGTTAAAAAATTATCTTAAAATTCTCCATCATCTAGGCAGAATTTAAAATAACTCTTTTCGCCTAAGATTTAACACAATAATCCTTAAGATGAAATAACAATCTTTATAGAAAATAATTATTAGTGACTCTCCATCATCTAGGCAGAGTACCAAGAATTATTTCTTTCGGAATGTTATTTTTAATTTATTTTATAATATCACAAAAATATTTTTTTTTAAAAGTATTATTCTCCTTTTTTTTACTATAAAATATTTTATCATCGAACAACAAATTAAAGAGAGAATAATGCAATTAATTATCGATGATAACATGCTAATGTATGTATGCTAATGAATGTCATTTATAATGAAATGTAATTTAAGAGTTGAATTCTTAAGTATAATGAGACCATCCCGACTCTCTAACATCTAGACAGAGCTTAGGTGCGACTGTTTATATTTAAGATCCCAATTTTATTATACCTTTATTTATTAATCTTATTATTAATGTAAATTACGAACTCGTGTGAAAAGACTTAACGAAGTAAAATTTCCTAAATACTCCATCATCTAGGCGGCATTCGGGAACAGATTGTCTCAAATAGAATTTTCACATGTGTCCTTAAGATTTTTAAGACTTTGGATTTTAAAAGATTTTGAATTTTAGGAGATTTTGAATTTCTAGGAGTTTTAGAAACTTAAGATTTTGAAAATTAACAAATAGTGTTTAGGGTTTAAGTAAAACATGAACATCTCTAAAAATCTTCATCATCTAGGTGGACTTTCGGAGCAAGTTCAATTTTAATGATTTTTGAAAATTAATTTAAAAATTTCTTATATATATTTTTTATGAAAATTTATTAATAATAATTTCTCAACATCTAGACGAAATTATTTATTTGAAAAATATTTTTTTTTATTCATTCCAACATCTAGGCAGGAAAATAAAAAGCTTATTTCATTATTATTGTTTAAACTTTTTTAAAATATATTATTTTTTAGTTATTATTTTATATTGTTTTCATTTATTTATCATTAATAACAATTAGATATTTATCCTAATAAATTTAAACATTTATCATACATAAATATAAAAAAAAAATTTAGAAAAAAAGAAAAAAAAATTTTTTTTTACCTGAACCGGACCGGTCAATGGTCTGGTCAACGCTGATTCGGGCGGTTTGGACGGTCGAACCAGTTCGACAATTGGATCGACGGTTTGGGTGACTAGCGGTTTAGACCGGTTCATTGGCGGTTCGTCTGAACTGGTTCAAGGTCGACTGAAACAGGTTGTGGGGTCGGGTTGCACGGATCTCGGGTCGGGTTCGGTCCACGCGCAGATCTTTTGCGCTTGAAACGGCGTTGTTTTGGTTCGATGCTCAAAACGATGTCGTTTTGGTCATATGTTTTCTATAAAAGTCAGAAAATTTTTTTTTCTCAGTTTGTTCGTTCGACAGAAAAAAAAAGGCTCTAGGGGGTTTTTTGGCTTGTCGGAATCCGAGCCGTTTGCTACGCCGGCCACTGTGCGGGTCACCGCCGGCGGTGGCCGAAAATTTGAAAAGTGACCAGGAGGTTCCGTTCAACCTTATGAGCTCAGATCTGGTGCTCTTTTCATCGAAAACGGCCTTGATTTACGTAGATCAGGTTTTGAAGTTTTCGGTATACTTTTCTTTCTTTTTTTTGTTTTTTTTTTTACGAAACTGATGATTTCTTTGCTTTTGCAGGGAGCTTAGTGCTGAGGTTCCTCCCTGCGGGGAGGACTGTGTTTTTTTTTTTTTGGCTAGATTTGTTTTTGTTCTCGGTTTGGGTATTTTAGGGAGTATTTGAAGTTTGGTTTTTCTTTTTGCGTCAGAATGGGGTCTGTCTGAGGGTGTTGAGGGTGTTTTGAGGGGGGAGAGTTCGTCTGAGAATGGGTTTTCTTCTTTTTTTGTTAGAGAGCCGAGAGACCCCGAATGAGAAAGATGGCTGGGGATTTTAAAGGGTTTCGATTTAGGGGGATTTAGGTGGCTATAGGGTAGTTAGTTGGTGGCTGTAGGGTGGCTGGTCGGGAGGCTGGTCGGGTAGTTGTTCAGGGAGTTGTTCGGGGAGTTGGTCGGGCTAGC